CAAAGCATGGAATTATGTGTACATGTATGTATGTGTATGGGTGTGTGTGTATGTGGTCCAGTTTAATAAAGCATAGAAGTGTATATGTATGTATGTATATGCATGTGCATGTATGGCACAGTCTGACAAAGCATAGAATTATGTATGTATGTGTGTATGCATGTGCATGTGCATGTGCATGTGTGTGTGTGTGTGGGTGGCACAGCCTGACAAAGCTTAGGATTAGGAACTGAAGAGATCCCTCCATTCCCCTGAGGAGGAAATGGCTCCTGACAACTGGAATTCCTGTCACAGGAGCAGGTGCTGAGTTATGGTAAACCTCCCGTTTGCCAATAACCTTCATGCCCAGAGTGAAAGGAAGCACGCACCCATCCTTTCTAATAAAGAGGGAATATGCAAATTGTCCGTCACTCCGCCACAAAGATGGTCGTGCCCCCAGGGGGCGGGGTTTCTGTAACACAAGATGGCTGTACCCACAGTGGAGGCCGAGTTCCTGTAACGAGACTTAACGAGCAATTAGCAGGGCTGTGCCCCTCTATCAACACCCCACCCCCTGCTGTGGGGCTTGATGGGGGACCTCATGGTGTGTCCCCCATGCAGCAGGGCTTGCCATGCCCCCCGCCCAGTGAGGCTTGATGGGGGACCTGAGGCTGCACCCCCTGCCCGGCGGACCTTGACAAGGGTGGGACTGGCCAGGTCTGGATCTAGCCCAATCGGGTGGGGGGGGGCAGCCAGGTCTGGGTCTTGCTCGATTTTGAGGCACACGTGGGTGGGTGGGAACTTGACTCTGGGTCCCATGGTGCACCCCAGACTCTGACAGGAGGAAGATTTTCATATACATTTTACTAACTTTCTTTCATCTCTGACACTTCTATTATAGAGAAAGGGCAAATAGCAATATTAAAATATTCCCTCTAATTAATCCCCCTTTAATGTGCACAAATTTTGTGCACCAGACCACTAGTTTGTAATCAAGGTCTGTGCTCTTTCATTTGGAGAACGTTTCTCACTTGAGGTCTGTCCTCTTTATCAGTAGATTTACGGGGGAGCAACCTGTGGAGGGAATGTCTCTCCAGGTCAGGCGGACAGGGTGCAGGTCTGAGGGCCAAGCTACGGGTGGGGGGTCCACACACAACACCCTCTGGACACGCAAGAGCTGGTCAGGGTCTGAGGCTGAACAGTCCAGTGAAAGCACCGACAGCAGCAGGGAGTCCGGACCCCAGGCCAGGCCTCCGCCCCATCCCACCTGTATCAGGTGCTGGGCGCAGGTGACCCCAAACGGCAGGGCTCCCGGGGCTGCCTCCGGACAGGGCATCACCTGTGTTTCCTCATCGAATCGGTCACCTAACGGTGCTTTGAACATGTTGAATGACTCAGGGTTGTTACTGTTAACGCCCATCATTTCCTGGAATCCAAGGGAGGCCCCGAGTCCCTTTGAGCACGGGAGAGTTTTCCACTTTCGTTAAATGACCCCAGTGTCCTGAGTCTTTTTATTTCAGATTTTTGTGTGTTTTTAATGTGTCCCCCACCCCTGGCTTTGGTGATGCATGAACTATAGCAGCTTTCTTTAGGCGGGGAGCACGTTTCTCTCGCCATTTCTCATTCCCGCGACCAGAGAGAAAGCTGGTTAGCATTGCACACAATTGAGCAAACAGACTGAGAAAGGTCCTGACACTTTGTGATGCGGGGGTGGAGTGAGCTTTAGTGTTGCTACATGTTGGCGACGCACAGACTCTGGGGCTGGCCTGGGGCTCTGTGGGGAGCCGGACCCTGGCCAGGTGGGGCTGCAGCCTCAGAATCACTCAGCTAGTGAGTGTGGGGGAACAAACACACGCGGACGTGGGGAACCCAGACACGGGGCCCTAAGGCTTCTCTTTTTTCTGAGTCCCCCGGCCACTTATTTGTCTCATAGATTTTAGACATGTTTTTTGTTTTTGTTATTTTTTAAAATATATTTTTATTGAATTCAGAGAGGAAGAGAGAGGGAGAGGGAGATAGAAACATCAATGATGAGAGAGAATCATTGATTGGCCGCCTCCTGCACACCCTTGAAGGTGACCTCGAACTGGGGATCGAGTCCACAGCCTGGGCATGTGCCCTGACCGGGAATCGAACCCGGGACCATTCAGTCTGCAGGCTGACACTTTACCCACTGAGCCACGCCAGCCAGGGCTTACATGTGTTTTTAATGAGCCCTTTAAAAGTACTGTTTCATGTTCTGTCTAAATGCTTATACAACATGTCTGCCTGGCCCAGGAGCCTTCGGCACGGAGCCCTCACTGTCCCACCGGACAGAAAGCAGGCGGTCCTGGAGGAGCTGGTGCGTACACCCCAGGCACCGGGAGCAGAGAATACCATTCCATATTAGTCCTTGCGCTTCTGCAGCACGTGGCCGCTCTCACCGCTCACAGCTCGCAGCGGCATCGCGCATAGCTCTGCCCGTGGGTCCACGTGGGGGCGCGCATTCCTAGGGCGCAGCGTGGAGGGGCCCCACGCCTGGGAGTCCTGGTTCGCTCCGGGAGCCTGTCCAGGCGGCTGAGGAATGCTTTCTGCTTTTATGGCTACTGGGTCCCTGCGGGGGTGACGACACTCAGGAGGCCTCTGCCGAGTGTCTGGGTGTGAACAGGGACCGGAGCAGAGGCGTCCAGGTTCCGGCCCAGACTCCACCACAGGCCTGGGAGCAGGAGCTGAGGCGCAGACGGGCCCCGAAAACCCCAGTCTGCCTCCGTCTGCACAGTGACCCCACAGGGACGCATCGTGTTCAGACAGAGGACGGGCGCCCCGACCCTCACCCAGTTCTCCCCGCACCCAGATGCTTCCAAGGAGAGAAGCCTCCTCCCTCTCCATCAGCTCTCCTTCTAGACACCCCTGCACAGACAGTCCTCCCCGCACCCCCCGCCCACCAACCCTCACCGTCCCTCCCCTGCCCTCGCGGCTCCCAGGCGCTCTCCTAGTCCATCTCCCCAGCGGCTGGCCTGCTCTTCTTCACCGCCCTCAAGTGCCATCTCCCTCAGCTCCTCCTTCTTCTATGGAGATGGTGACCTCGAACTCTTGGCCGCCCCTCTCATAGCCCCGCCCTGACAGCCTGTACCCCTCCTCCCTCTCTGCCTCTGAGACCCAGGCCCTCTCCTCTCTGCCTCCTGTCTGCCTGCAACGCTGTCCAGCTGGGTCCAGGGCTCGTGCAGGAAATGGACACCTGCTTATTCTGTCACAAAGGGACAGGGTGACACCCACAGGGTTCAGGGCAGGGGCAGGGTCTCCGAGAATGGCTTCCGACAGCAGCCGCCAAGGGTCACCCGGGACAGGCACGGTTGTGGGTCAGGGAGCCACGGGCCGGCGCTGGGCCTCGGGGTCACGCCATGGCCTGGCCAGGGACTGAGATGCTGCCGGTGGCCTGTGGCATCCACAGCAAAGCACCTCCCAGCTGGGCGCCCGCAGCACCGAGCCCGCAAGGCCCGGCCGCTCCCTGCGCCACTCGGTCCCGCTGAGCGGGCGCCTGATCCACCAGGGGCCAGCGGGAGGGGGTCAGGGACACACGTGTTGTCTTCTCCCCGCGGCGACCCCGGCACCTGGAAGGAGCAGGCGCAGAAGTTGCACAGCCCCGCCCCCCTGCCGCTGGCTGGCTGCTGGCTCACTCGCCTGTCAGTCAGAGTTCTTACTCACTGATCCCTCTTCTTCTTTTTTAAAAAAATATATTTTATTGATTTTTTACAGAGAGGAAGGGAGAGGGATAGAGAGTTAGAAACATTGATGAGAGAGAAACATCAATCAGCTGCCTCCTGCACACTTCCCATGGGGGATGAGCCCACAACCCAGGTACATGCCCTTGACCGGAATCGAACCCGGGACTCCTTAGTCCGCAGGCTGACGCTCTATCCACCGAGCCAAACTGTTCAGGGCCACTGACCCCCCTCCTCCTCACAGACCCTCTTCCGGCTCACTGCTGCATGGCTGCACTCAGGCCCAGGACGCTTGGGCTTCTTGGGTCGTCACTGCTGGTTTCCTTTCTAATATCGTTTTATTGATGTCAGAGGGGAAGGGAGAGGGAGCAAGAGATAGAGCATCAATGATGAGAGAGAATCACACTGGGATGGAGCCCACAACCTGGGCATGTGTCCTGACGGGGAATCGAACCCTGACCTCCTGGTTCATAGGTCGATGCTCAACCATGAGCCACGCTGCCCGGGCCGGGTCGTTTCTGCTTTTATTCCTTCTCATTCTGGTCCTTGTCGCCCTAAAAGTGTCACATGGTGGGTGTCATGAAGGTATGGTCAATTTGCCTCTTTCTCTTTTATTAGTGTAGATAATTTTATTGATTTTTTACAGAGAGGAAGGGAGAGGGGTCATAGGGAGAGGGATCGACTCCCTTCCTCTGAGTCACATGGTTTTTTGCTTTGTGCTAGGAGCCCCCCGCTCCCCAATAGGACCTGAGGTTGGATGTCAGAGTTGGGGAGCAGGCCATGCAGAGGGGTTAGCTGCTGGTTGCTACAACCTGAGCTAGCGCCATCATCACCTTCTGGGGGCCTGGTGACCAGCTCTCAGGGCAGCGGGGAACATGACCTGCCTGGGCTCCGCGGAGGAGCCACTGGGCGCCCCTGAAGCCTTGTCTTCAGAAGGAGAGCTGTGCTGAGGCCTGCCGAGCCCCTGGGGAGGGCTGGGGTTCTGAAAGAGCGCTCAGTCCTGGTCTGCTTGCCACCCCATGGACTCGTCTCCATTGCAGAAGCTGCCTCTGGCCGCAATCCCCTTGCTCATCCTCCCTGTCTCAGGTCTGAGCCGCGCGGTGTGGGGTCCGAGGAGCCGCCTGCAGGCACAGGGCTGGACCCCTGCCCGCTCTCTCCTTCGTCATGCGTGTAATGGTGGGGAGTGTGGCTTAAGGAGGAGGTTGTCCTGGTTCCGCCACTTGCTCTGGCATTTCCCAGAGGACTTGTCCACGACTCACACATGGACACACAGCCAGGAGAGGAGGCCCGTGTCGCTGACAGGACGCTGTCATTGTGGGCATGGATGCTGGCACAGTGGGCGTGGATCCTGGCACTGTGGGCATGGATGCTGGCACAAAGGGCGTGGATGCTGGTACAGTGGGCATGGATGCTAGCACTGGGGGCATGGATGCTGGTACAGTGGGCATGGATGCTGGCACTGGGGGTGTGGATGCTGGCATTGTGGGCATGGATGCTGGCACTGGGGGCATGGATGCTGGCACTGGGGCAGGGAAGATGGCACTGTGGATGTGGAAGCTGGTACTGTGGGTGTGAATGCTGTCACTGTGGGTGTGGAAGCTGGCACAGATGGCATGGATGCTGGTACAGTGGGCATGGATGCTAGCACTGGGGGCATGGATGCTGGTACAGTGGGTGTGGATGCTGGCACTGGGGGCGTGAATGCTGGTACAGTGGGCATGGATGCTGGCACTGGGGGTGTAGATGCTGGCACTGGGGGCAGGGAAGATGGCACTGTGGGTGGGGAAGCTGGCACTGTGGGCATGGCAGTCACACCCCAAGCCAGCGTGCTTCCTACTCCATCCACCAGGCCTAGACATGAAGCCCTAATAAGAGCAAAAGGAACTTTCTCATTTCACCAGGTAATTATTTATTCATGAAGCTAAAGTAGCATGACTGATGTGCATCTCAGATTCAGGCTATGACATGGAAGTAATGTTACATTTTCCCAGAGCCTTAGTTTTCCATTTTCACTGGCTGCAATGAGGGAGTCCTTCCTGACCAGGCCCAGAGGCCATGAGCAGGAGGACATAGCGTTTGGTAAATTTCCATTTCCATGACCGCTGAGTCACATGGTCTGAGCACAGAGTGAGGCACTGAGAGGGAGGAGCAGCTGGGGATGCAGGAGGTGGGCAGTGAGGTCTCAGGGATACTCCAAAGAAAAAGACTTAGAGCCTGGCTGGCATGGCTCAGTGGCTGAGTGTCGACCTGTGAACCAGGAAGTCATGGTTCAATTCCTGGTCAGGGCACATACCCGGGTTACAGCTGATCCATGATTCTCTCTCATCATTGATGTTTCTATCTTTCAGTCCTTTTCCTTTCCTCCATGAAATCAATAAAATTATCTACACTAATAAAAGAAAGATGCAAATTGACTATACCTTCACGACACCCACCAGCCAATCAGGATGAGTATGCAAATTAACCCAACAAAGATGGCGGGTTTATTTGCATACATAGGTGCTGAGCGGCTGGGGGTGGGGTGGGACTCAGGTGTTCTGCACTACCCCAGCCGCTCAGGGCCTCTGGGCAGCGTGGGAAGGCGGAAAGGCGGCTTTTGGCAGGAGTGAAGACGGTGCGGGCAGCCAGGGAAGGAAGGCCCACTCTTGCACGAATCTTCATGCATCAGGCCTCTAGTATTTAAAATAAAAAAGAGCAGAAGCTCCTGTTCCCTGTGGGCCTGCACATGGGAGATGGTGTGGGGAGCCCAGGACAAGAGCTCAGGCCTGGGGGTCAGATACACAGGAGGTGGACTGTCAGAGAGCTGTGGGCCAGCAGGCCAGCAGGCCAGTGGGGATCACACCTGCCTGCCCCTCCTTCCTCTCCTTCTTTGATCTCATACTGGGGTTCCCATTGGCCAGACCCAGCCAGGAGCCAGTGTGATGGGAACTTGGCCATGAGGCAGCCCTGGGGAGGGGAGGGACTGGACCTGGAAGGGTAGAGAGACAGTGACCAGCCCAACACTCTTGTTGGCACAATGACACATGTATCACTTCCAGTCACCCCTCACGGGGGCCCAGGGGAGCCTCTGCTGTCGTTCCCACATCTCCCTCCTCCCAGGCCTGACGGTGCGCCCAGGTTTTATTCTGATCCATTCTCTTCCACATCCTTACAGGCGGGAATGTGAGACATTATTCTTAGAGCTCGGCTGTTTGATTTTTACACAACCTTTTTCTTTCCTTTTCTTTTCTTTCTTTTTTTTTTTTTGGCCAAAGTTTGCCTAGTCCTAACTCTTAAATAGTTGGTTTCAAAGGGATTCCTTCCTTTGACATAGTCCTTAATGCCCTGGCCATCTCGTTACCCTCGATGCTGGAACGGCTGTCTTGGGTTTGTTCATCTGCAATGCGGCCGGGTTTTAAATTTTATTTGAGTGGGAGGAGTCATTCCCCATTGGGTCGGCCTTCACAATGTGACAAGGTTCTTTCTAGCATGTGCTCGATTTAAAAACGTCTCCCCACTCCTCACTGCTTTTTATTTCTTTACTCTCATTCTTCTAGAATAGATTTTCTCTCCTTTCCTGTTTATTTACAATGATATGAATTCAATGTGGACATCGTGGTAGCATATACTACATTGTGTGTGTGTGTGTGGGGGGGGGGTTGGATCATGTGTAAGATGGTGGTTAACAGGTGAACATAAAACCAGGACTGATATGGTACACACTACATTGCGTGTGTGTGTGTGTGTGTGTGTGTGTAACATATGTAAGATGGTGCTTTACAGGTGAACATAAAGCCAGGACTGACATGGTACACAGTACATTGTGTGTGTAGTGGAACATGTGAATGGTGGTCTCACAGGTGAATAAAGCCAGGGCTGACATGGTACACACTACATTGTGTGTGTGTGTGTGTGTGTGTGTGTGTGTGTGTGTGTGTGTGTGTAACATGTGGAAAGTGGTCTCACAGGTTAACAGTGAATGAAGCCGGGGCTGCTTCTCCAGCTTGCAGATCCACGTGCCGGGCCCAGGCCCATCTCTCGGAGAAGGCACATGGTGTGCACACATTGATGATTCTAATCACCGCCTCCTGTTTGCTCCACTCAGATCCGCAGCCAGAGCAAAGCGTCGGGCTCCGGGCTCTGTGAAGGGGATGAAGTGGTCTCCATCAACGGCAACCCATGTGCGGACCTCACCTACCCGCAGGTCATCCAGCTCATGGAGAGCGTGGCCGACTCACTGCACATGCTCGTCAAACGGTAGGAGCCCAGGGGTTTGGGGAGGCGGGGGGTGGCACTCGCCCTGCACGCCGCTGGGATGGGGACAGCCTCCGACACATAAACGCATAAAAGTGGGTGCCCTGAGGAGGTCAGTGAGGCAGACAGGAGGGCCACAGGGTCTGAGAGCTCATGGCTTTGACCCCCTGAATTTTCTGGGTGATTGAAAATTAACTTGGAAATCTTTGTTTCAAGAACTTCGTTGGAAACCTCAGTTATTTAAACCTAGTTCCTTAGACAGCTCAGCATATTGAACATAATTTAGTCCTTCCAGATCCAGGTTTTGTGGTGGGTCAGGACCACCGATGTATAATTCACAGATGGATTAAAAACATTTAAATAGCAAACCATTACACTACACACTAACTTTTTCAAGAAAGAAATGCCCAGGAGAAGGAGAACAACAACAAAAGCCTTAAAGCTGCCAGATTCCTGATGCCAGAACCTCCGCAAAACCAATATCTGGGTGGTTAGAATAAAGTTTTTGGACTATCAACGCAAATCTCTTGTTAATTTTATCTCCCCATACCCATCCTCCCCAGTAATTGCTTAAAAACGCAGAAGTAAAGTTTAAACATAGAAACAAAAGAAAACATGGGGGTTCCCGGCCGTGTGGCTTGGTGGTTGAGTGTCGACACATGCACCCAGAGACCACAGGTTCGATTCCCGGTCAGGGCACGTGCCCGGGTTGCGGGCTCGATCCCCAGTGTGGGCCATGCAGGAGGCAGCAAATCAATGTTTTCTCTCATTGATGTTTCTCTCTTCCTATCTCTTTAAAAATCAATCAAAATATATTTATTTATTTTTTAAAAATATATTCTATGTCAGAGAGGAAGGGAGAGGGAGGGAGAGATAGAAATATCAATGATGAGAGAATCATTGATTGGCTGCCTCCTGCACGCCCCCTATTGCAGGTCTAGCCCACAACCCGGGCATGTGCCCTTGACCAGAATCAAACCCGGGACTCTTTAGTCCACAGACTGACACTCTACCTACTGAGACAAACTGGCTAGAGCAAAATATATATTTTTTCTAAAAAATAAAACAATGTGAGCAATCACACACACACAAACAGTAGCATCCACATTTCCGTTGTGTGCAAACCACAGTCCAGGCCACACCAGCTTTGCAGGGAGACTGACATCGCGTTGTGATAACTCCAGACAGGAAAGCCCTGGACCCTGGAGGGAGCCTTCCTGGGCGATTGATCCCAGAGAGGAAGGGAGAGGTGGGAGAGGGAGAGAGAGATAGAAACATCAACAATGAGAGAGAATCATGGATCAGCTGCCTCCTGCATGCCCCACACCAGGGATCGAGCCTGCAACCCGGGCCTGTGCCCTGACCGGGAATCGAAACCTGACCTCCTGGTTCATAGGTCAACACTCAGCCACTGAGCCACCCCGGCCGGGCTGGTTTTGTTTGGGTTTTTTTTTTTCAAATATATTTTATTGATTTTTTACAGAGAGTAAGGGAGAGAGATAGAGAGTTAAAAACATCGATGAGAGAGAAATATCAATTAGCTGCCTCCTGCACATCTCCTACTGGGGATGTGCCCGCAACCCAGGTACATGCCCTTGACCGGAATCGAACCTGGGACCTTTCAGTCTGCAGGTAGATGGTCTATCCACTGAGCCAAACTGGTTTCAGCTGGTTTTGTTTTTTGTTTGTTTGTTGTTGCTGTGGGGAGTCCTCCCCTGAGGATATTTTTTCATTGATTTTTACAGAGAGAGTAGAAGGCAAGGAAGGAAGGGAGAGAGAGAGAGAGAGAGAGAGAGAGAGAGAGAGAGAGGGAGAGAGAGAGAGAGGAATATCCATATGAGAGAGGTACATCAATTAGTTGCCTCCCCCACATACCCCAACCAGGCCGGGGGCCCAAGTTGCAACCCAGGTACTTGCCCTTGACCAGGAATCAAACCTGAGACCCTTTGATGCACGGGCTGATGCTCTAACCACTGAGCACACAGGCCAGGGCTGATTCCACTTCTATACAAACACGACTCATGTGGCCCAAACCTTCTGAAAATAAAAGAAATCTCACTTTACTCTCAGCATCTCCTGCCTAAATGTTTCCCATCGACCCAGTGTGCAAGCCCTCAGACTCCTACTTATGTATAAACCGCCACGTGCTTTGGCGAGGACCCAGCAGGAAGGCTGCGGCGTGCAGTCCGCGTGCCAGGGCCCTGCACAGAGCCCCGCCCTCTGAGCACTTCCATCTTCGCGAAGGTTTGATCACGTCCACAAGGGGAGATGCCTTCTCTGGTTTGTTCCCTTTTTAGTGCCTCCACTGCTGCAGTGAGGCCGGCTTCCCCGGCACACGCTGTGGCTGGCACTATCCCTACTAGGTCCTGTCTGGCTGCGGTGCCTCCTGGGAAAATCCCCGGGTGCTTTAAAGCTGAGTCTCAGACACATATTTACTGTCACACGTCATCGGGCTGGCTCTCTGCTACTTTCAGTAAATGGGACCATGACTATTATTTTCTCTTAAGTACTTTGACTTTACCAAATAAGTAATTGATGATATTGAAAACGGAACTTCAAATTAATACCCACCCAAAGGCAGTCATCATGTCATCATCCTCATCAACACCATCACCACCATCACCGCCAACATCACCATCACCACCACCATCCCCACCATTACCACCACCATCACCATCACCAACATCATGATCATCACAATCACCACCACCACCATCACCACCACCACCATCACCATCACCACCACCACCACCTTCATCACCACCACCATCACCAACATTACCATCATAATCACCACCACCATCACCACCACCACCACCACCACCATCACCATCACCATCACCATCACCACCATCACCACCATCACCACCACCATCACCATCACCATCACCATCATCACCACCATCACCATCATCACCACCATCATGACCATCACAATCACCATCACCATCATC